TGGTATCATATGAAATGTCACGTCAATTGTTTGTCGGTATAATGAACTCGCATTTGAACATTGAGGATAAGTGGTTCGATGAGATACTTGCGTCCTTCTACAGTTTTTATATTGTAGACAAGGTAATTTATCAAACGGAAACTATATATACTAAAATACAAGAAAATTTGTTTCAGCTGTGAAAACTCAATGTTGACCTTAATAATAGTTAAATACTCATAAGCGCATTTTAAATAGTCAGGCAGTGCTTATTTCTTTTGTTATTTCGAACACCTCTCACCATATAATAAAATCTGTTCTTTTCAGATATGGTTGGGAGAAGAAATGATGGAGCTGTTCGTAGTCCAAAATCTCCAAACTGCTTTAGATAGCGACATTTATTTGGAGTTCAAACCTACTATCCATAAATCTAAGAGCGATTATGGAATTGATGGATTACTTTACCCTTTACTGTATCACAAGAAAGGTAAGAGGGAGACTTAATAACTGCGGTTAATCAATTATTCTAAATTACCTAAATTTCATATGCATTACGGTTTGAATTATTGTAGCATTCGCCCTAATTCGTATGTTACTCAATTTGCTCACTCCACCAAAATTTGATGAAATCATTAAGAAATATGTACAATCTCGGTGAGTTTATTTATGGTAATATAATAATTATACAATTTTTACCTCGTATACTTTTCTGTATTATACATGTATGTTTTATTGTTTTTAATTGAAAATTTTATCTTATTCGAAATTATGTATTCAGCTTTGTGTTGTTAACGCAGAATCTTACACAAATTTACCTCCTCGTTAATAATGCGGGACATGTTAAGGAAAGAAAACACACTACTAATTTTTTATCAAATAATTAGCTAATCCATTTGCACCTTTGAACATTTTTGATTACGTTATGTTATATACATAGTTCTATTATGTGTACTTTTACGTTTGAATGAATTAAAACATTACCACGTTTCTTCTACCAAATTATCTTTAAAGAGCAACAGGTGTTAAATTTAAAAATTTTTATTTTTATTATTATATTTTCATTTACATTATTATTATTATTACATTTTTATTTACATTATTATATTTATGTTTTCGCCAGAAACACGAATTTCTGGACAATCGTTGAGGAAGTATATCTTGAAAAATACATTGAAAAGTGTACGATAAAAGAAATAATAAACTCATGGTTAACGGAAGCACATCACCTAGAAATGCACTTTATTCGTGACTATAATAAGAAAACAGTGACGTATAATGCAACGTTTCCTAATAATGCCTTCAATTTTAAAATGCCAATTATGTTTCGTGCGAATTTGGAAATATATTTTACTGTTTTTTGGTGTGGAAGAAATGACCTAAATATTCTTAGAGGAATTAACTCAAATTATTTTTTTTTAGTCAACACGGAACAATTCGGTAAGCACAGACTAATAAGCTTATAATATTTTGTGGCTCATTCTGTGACAGTTTAACGATCTATGTTATTTCATATGATTGAATATTTTCTTTAAAATAATTAGAACTTCGATATTTTAACTTTACAAATAGTGGAATATTCGGAACAGTATATGAGAGATTTTGAGTTATTGACTATACATGCTTTATATGCAAGTATATGACTTACGAGAAAAATTATATGTTATACGTTGTGATAAAAGGTGTCAAAATTGAATACGAAATATCTTTGAAAGTATTCATTGTTCAAGTTCATTTTCCAAGTTCATTTTTCATTCTTGATGGTGAAGTGAAATCAAGCTACACTGATGTTGTAAATTTAACATTGCAGGTATCCCAAATTATCCACTCTTATTTATGTGTAAATTTAACACAAAATAAATGTGGTAAAAAGTAACACACATAATATGTAAAAAATTAACACAAAAATTTAACACTTGAATACATTCAGGAATCACAGTTTGTGTTAAATTGACATCTGTATAATGTTAAATTAATTAAAATAAAACGTTACTTTAACATTTCAAAGAAGAATTAATCTACGATTTTGATAAAATGAAAAGGTTATATTGATATAATTTATGTTTGTGTTATTAAATATGTCAATTTAACACAAACTGTGATTCCTGAATGTATTCAAGTGTTAAATTCTTGTGTTAATTTTTTATATATTATGTGTGTTACTTTTTAACACATTTATTTTGTGTTAAATTTACACATAAATAAGAGTGGATGATTTGGGATATATAAAGTTAACACATTAAGTTGACACGTTAAATTTAACTCATTAGTTTGTACAGTGTATGTAATAATAAAGAGATAAGAAATATAAAAGAGCTACAATATTCTATTAAAAATATAAAGTAAAAAAGAAATATACATATATACACATGTGTGTATGTGTGTGTGTGTTATAATATTGTAGAATTATTCACCAAGTATCTTATGAAGAGTTTAATATTTCCTATTAAGAATTTACGGAAATTTATAAATTTGTAAATTTTGTAAATTGATAAAAAGTGCAACGATATTCTTCAAAATCACTTCTTGATGTACAAATTCAAAAATATCCTACATGGTTAATTTCTTTTACGACAGGTTATTACCGAGTTAATTACGACAGCCGGAATTGGTTACTGCTTGCGGATTACTTACAATCTGCCACCTCTACACCCATATCTGTTCTCAATCGAGCACAGATTGTCAACGATGCGTTTTACTTTACAATAGTTGGGAAAATAGAATCTCAACTCTTCTTCGATATTATAAAGTTTCTAAATAAGGAGTCTAATTACATAGTATGGCATCCAGTGTTTAACATTTTCTCGTATATGTCGTCTTTCTTAAAAACTCCAATAGGCGATTCCGCGAAGGTATGGAAATATAAATTTAACGAATACTTTTTATTTACTATTTTATACTCTCAGTTATCGCAAAATGGCGAAAAATCGAACAAGAATATAGGAAATTCACTTGCAAATTCAAACATGGATGTTTTAAGCTTATTTGCTATGATACTTTTCTGTAAATATTTTGGAATAAAAAGTGATAATATCGAGATAAAAATAAAAATACTGCCGCTTGAAATCACAAGAGTGAACATTTCACTCAAGGTTAAACAGGATTCTGATTCCTTATCAGCAAATATTTTAATCGACTGGAGTGAAAATGTTCCGCTGACAGTGGAATGCTTTGGTTTCATTCTTCAATTTTGAGTGAAAATATTCACTCAACAACTCAGAATAAAGAATTCACTATAAGGGAATATAAAATAACTCGAATTCGAGTGATTCAGCTATTACTTGGTTTTCGAGCCAAATTTCACTCCTAGATATTAAGAGAGTTCAATGAGAGTTCAGTGAGTAAAATTCGTGACATGTTCCAGGCAAAGTTTGTGAGTATATTGAATAGTCTTCTTCATAGAATGGGATACGAAGAACGTGAAACCGATCGAGAAATGACGATGCCGTTAAGATTACTAGCAATAAAGTGGGCTGGCGAATTCGGCCTCGAAGAATGCAGAAAAGCCGTTGCCGAAAAAATGATCGCATATATACACAATAGTGAACAAAACATGTAAATATTCTTTAAAATTGCTATTTGTATGTTTTTAATAATATTTAATATGTTATATTTCATATCATGATTGATAAATTATATGATCAAAGAATGAAATGAAAGGTTGATTTTTTATTACAAATACTTATTTCTTTTGATGTATGTCGTAGAATTGCGCGATGGACAAACTGGATACACTGTATTGGAATGATGAACATAAATACGACTATTTTAGAACTGATTTGGCAATTAAACATTCAAGAGGAAAATATAGAGATTTTAGAATCCTTGTCCTGTATAGAAGATGACATAACCTTATTGCATTTTTTGCAACTGATGACAAATATTACCTATGAGAACAATGCAACAAAATTATCAATGGGAAAAATACATCGTTTTATTATTAAGAGACATATCGAAAAGCAAAAAATTCTCAATTATTTCTTGAACAATTATTTCAAGATAATAGACAGGTATTTTTCTTCTTAAAAAATATAGTTATTATCATTATTAGATACCGTTATGTCTATTTTGATTAAATGTAATATATCATAATTTTATAGATTCCCCAACGATTTTGGTACCCACGATAATCTAACTCTAATAGCTGATATCATTATGAATGCACATAGCCAGATGACACTCAGCAAGGTAAATATGCCTTTGTTATTTATCTCTATTAAACTTAATATATTTATTTATTTATTAAATTGCTTATTTATTTAAATATAACACATATGTATTAAGTTGCATTAATTATTAAAAAGTTAGAAATTATGCCGCGAATTATCGTTATTATATTGGTCTTAGTGGCTATTTACCTTAGTACTGATTAATATCCACGTGTGTTTTAGATAAAGATGCACATAATCCATAATTTTTATAATTATACTCTATGGTTCGACAGCAATAATCTGATCGAAATACGACGAGACCATATATTAAGACAGCGAAGGAAGTTCAAAATGTTTATAATTGATGTTTTATAGTGATAATAATCCATCTGACCCTTAGTTTTACTGCCACTTGCACGAATTGTAATCTATGTAGGGGCTTATATTACATATATTATATAAAGAATATTTATAGCGTAAAATAATGTGTATTTTCTAATTCCTAAGAAATTTTGCTTAAAAAATATTATCTTTTACAGCGAAAGTATCTTCTAACAATTTTAAGTTATTACTAATTGACACATACCATATTCACCATGCAAACACGTCAGATAAACTAATGACAAGTTAAAGAATTGCACTCTAGCGATGAAATAAAAAGACTAAGCAGCCTCCCAGCATAGATTACTTTATCTTTTCCTGTACCACAAGAAAAATAAGACTCGAAAATGCTGTTAAATAATCATTTTTAGCTACTCAAATTTCAAATATATTATCGTTTGCATAATTGTAGCATTGGGTAACGCTATTTTTCATAACGATTCGTTTTAAATAGAAATTTGACATGTTACATTTTGGTATAGATTATTGGCTTGTAAGTATCGAACGATAGAGAAAAATTTTTACATGTGATATTGGATATGTACACACACACATACACACACACACACACACATGTACGTATATAACGACATCGACAACTGTTATTGTCATTAGTATGTGGTGATTCATCGTGCGTGCGAGAAGGTAAGAAACGACGGAGAATGTAAGATAACGGACTAAATTTAAAATTACATTTTTTACAATTGAGTTTATCTAACAACTTTCTACAGGAGAATAATTGTAATTTTATTTTCCCTTGAGTTCAATCCCGGTTTGATAAGATTAAGGAAATATTAATTATTAGTTTTGTCTGTGAGAAAACATGAAAATAAGATATTTTGCACAACATCAAGATGTGTTTCTATCAACAGTGCAATGATCATTCTAATAAACTTCAAATAAGCATACCTCTTTCCATCAACTCTATTAAATCTTGTTTCATTCTCACATGCTAAAATCAAATTTAAAGAACAATAACGTCAGAAAATTTTATATATACTAAAAAGTTTTCATAGGTGACAATTAATATAGGTGATAATTATGTTCTTTGTGTAGATACTTGTACCCAAAATGGAGACGACATCTTTAAAACTAGTTTTCATTATTGCCATAATGTTTCCTACTGCTAATCCCGTCATTTTGAAAGATCATGCAAATTGCACGCTTCCTTTCCATCAAGTATCTACCGATCATATGGTACCAATAAGAATTGATGTTACAATTCAAGTAAAACCGAGAAGCATCTTGTCAGGCAAAACCGATATCACTATAATTGTAAAAAAACCTACGACGAATATAACTCTGCATGGACATGATTTGGAAATAGATATGGCGTGCACAATGATTATGAGACCTGGTGCAAAGCCGAAGTGTCGTGAGGAGGATGCTGTATATAAACTGTGGGAAGTAGTGTATTGTTCCGAAAATGAAACGATAAACCTGATATTTATTGATTATATATCCCCTGGCCAGTATATCTTACATATAGAACATTTCTCTCTTTTGGATAAAAATGAAAACGTGATGATTTATTTATACTCTTGGAAAAATGAAGCTAGGTAAGCAGTTAAATATTATGAAAGCAGTGCACAATTGTAAACAACAATGTCTGCTATTGACGAAAGTCTATTCGCAACATGTCAACCACTAATCTGGAGAAAAATATTTCATATAAACGCAAGGACTTATTTAAAATTTTCAATTTCTTTAATTTTTATATTTATCAACAAATTTTCATGTGTGTAGATTCTAATGTGTTTTTTAAATGCCGCCGCGCGTATTTGAAGTATTCGTAACTGTGATTTGTACGTTGCTTACCTTTCTCAAACAAATCTTTTCTGCGCATACGTCATATTGAAAAATAAGGGAAGAAACTTGCGAAATCCGGAAATGTTTAGATTATTTTGAAATATTTCATAAGTGTAGAACGTAAGACGTTCCAAAAAATTACAAAGTTATTACAAAAAATGTTTTTCAACAGAGTATACGAAATCTTTGCATAAAGTTTACATAAATATAAGATGTGGTGATTCATATTTTCAATATGAGACATCGTTTCTGAAAGTACATCTATCTTTATGAAAGTACATTAATCAGATATGTATGTTAACACGGCTGAAAATTTTTCCCAAACTAAGATTGCTTCTTCAAATGTGATAGGTGGATCGTCACGAACTTATATTCGTCAAACGCAATACGAAGACTGTTTCCAAGCTGGGACAATGCGACAATTAAAGAATACTTGCATATAACAGTGATATATGATAAACCATATATGATCTTTTTGAATATACCTATACAGTATTCACATGATGAAAATAACTCGCGAAAGACGCTTTTCTCAGACATCTACAAAACTTCTACTCATTCCCTCACGTTTCTGTTTATAAGTGGTTTGACGACAAATATCAAACAATACGATATGAACTATCTGTGGAATGAACCGAATGCGACGGTAGCACTCGAATACGCGCACATAGTAGCATTTCATACCACATTACAATTTAAATGGATCATAAACATCGTTTTGTCTGAAATCATAAATAAAATTGACCATATCGTACTCCCGACTTGCCCAATGAAATCCGCGGGACGTCTTGAACTCATTGTTTACAGGTATGCAAGACAAAGCATTGCACATATTATTATTATACAATATTATTATTACATAATATTATTATATAAGACCTCTTATGCAAGAGAAACGAGAAGGATAGCGTGATCGTCTTAGTGCTTATTTGACATAACGTATTATCCTTCTCTCTACGTGATCGATATTTCTCGAATTCATTATTTGCTTTTTCATATACTTAAAACGCAGTCGTAGAGACTGTGATGAGAGCATATAATGCTGTCATTAAAAAAATTATCCAAAAATTTATGCTACAAAAACAGAAAGATTTTGCATATTTCTTTCATAATTTTTCGTAGAATAATATAGCCAAATAGAAGATTCAGTCTAACAAACAGTGGCGTAGCGACAAAAAAGTTTCAGAGGGGCTGTACTTTTTATTTTTAACGAAAAGAAGAAAAAGTCATTCCAAAAAATTTTTCTCACACATAGCGTAAACCAGAAAATTAATTTCGGGAAGAGCTGCAAACTCTCAGCCCCCTTGGCTACACCACTGCTGACAAAGATTGCGCAGTTTATGTAGAGATACATTAAAAGTTATAAAATAAATTATTATAATATAATAAATTAATTTTTGTTTACAAGAAATTTTTATCAAAACAGCTTTTTCCAATTTACAGGGAAAAAGATGTTACGTACAAGGAAGGAGTAGATTCTCCTGGAAAAATGATTGATATTGCGAAGTTGGTATCATATGAAATGTCACGTCAATTGTTTGTCGGTATAATGAACTCGCATTTGAACATTGAGGATAAATGGTTCGATGAGATACTTGCGTCCTTCTATAGTTTTTATATTGTAGACAAGGTAATTTATTAAACGAAAACTACTAAAATGCAAGAGAATTTGTTTCAGCTGTGAAAACTCAATGTTGACCTTAATAATAGTTAAATACTCATAAGCGCATTTTAATTAGTCAGGCAGTGTTTATTTCTTTTGTTATTTCGAACATCTCTCACCATATAATAAAATTTGTTCTTTTCAGATATGGTTGGGTAAAGAAATGATGGAGCTGTTCGTAGTCCAAAATCTACAAACTGCTTTAGATAGTGACATTTATTTGGAGCTCAAACCTACTATACATAAATCTAAGAGCGATTATGGAATTGATGGATTACTTTACCCTTTACTGTATCACAAGAAAGGTAAGAGAGAGACTTAGTAACTGCGGTTAATCAATTATTCCAAATTATCTAAATTTCATATGCATTACGGTTTGAATTATTGTAGCATTCGCCCTATTTCGTATGTTACTCAATTTGCTCACTCCACCAAAGTTTGATGAAATTATTAAGAAATATGTACATTCTCGGTGAGTTTATTTATGGTAATATAATAATTATACAATTTTTTCCTCATATACTTTTCTATATTATACATGTATGTTTTATTGTTTTTAATTGAAAATTTTATCTTATTCGAAATTATGTATTCAGCTTTGTGTTGTTAACGCAGAATCTTACACAAATTTACCTCCTCGTTAATAATTCGGGACATGTTAAGGAAAGAAAACACACTACTAATTTTTTATCAAATAATTAGCTAATCCATTTGCACATTTGAACATTTTTGATTACGTTATGTTATATACATAGTTCTATTATGTATACATTTACGTTTGAATGAATTAAACATTACCACGTTTCTTCTACCAAATTATCTTTGAAGAGCGACAGGTGTTAAATTTAAAAATTTATATTTTTATTATTATATTTTCATTTACATTATTATTATTAGTACATTTTTATTTACATTATTATATTTATGTTTTCGCCAGAAACACGAATTTCTGGACAATCGTTGAGGAAGTATATCTTGAAAAATACATTAAAAAGTGTACGATAAAAGAAATAATGAACTCATGGTTAACGGAAGCACATCACCTAGAAATGCACTTTATTCGTGACTATAATAAGGAAACAGTGATGTATAATCCAATGTATCCTAATAATGCCTTCAATTTTAAGATGCCAATTACGTTTCGTACGAATTTGAAATTCTATTTTACTGTTTTTTGGTGTGGAAGAAATGACATAAATATTTTTAGAGGAATTAACTCAAATTATTTTTTTTTAGTCAACACGGAACAAGTCGGTAAGCACAGACTAATAAGCTTATAATATTTTGTGGCTCATTCTGTGACAGTTTAACGATCTGTGTTATTTCATATGATTGAATATTTTCCTTAAAATAATTAGAACTTCGATACTTTAACTTTACAAATAGTAGAATATTCGGAACAGTATATGAGAGATACTGAGTTATTGACTATACATACTTTATATACAAGTATATGACTTACGAGAAAATTATATGTTATACGTGGTGACAAAAGGTGTCAAAATAGAATACGAAATATCTTTAAAAGTGTTCATTGTTCAAGTTCATTTTCCAAGATCATTTTTCATTATTGATGGTGAAGTGAAGTCAAGCTACACTGATCTTGTAAATTTAACATTTCAGGTATCCCCAATTATCCACTCTTATTTATGTATAAATTTAATACAAAATAAACGTGGTAAAATGTAACACACATAATATGTAAAAAATTAACAAAAGAATTTAACACTTGAATACATTCAGAAATCACAGTTTGTGTTAAATTGACATCTGTATAATGTTAAATTAATGAAAATAAAACGTTACTTTAACATTTGAGAGAAGAATTAATCTACGGTTTTGATGAAATGAAAAGGTTAAATTAATATAATTTATGTTTGTGTTATTAAACATGTCAATTTAACACAAACTGTAATTACTGAATGTATTTAAGTGTTAAATTCTTGTGTTAATTTTTTACATATTATGTGTGTTACTTTTTACCACATATATTTTGTGTTAAATTTACACATAAATAAGAGTGGATGATTTGGGATATATGAAGATAACACATTAAGTTGACACGTTAAATTTAACACATTAGTTTTTACAGTGTATGTAATAATAAAGAGATAAAAGATGTAAAAGAGCTACAATATTCTATTAAAAATATAAAGTAAAAAAGAAATATACATATATACACATGTGTGTGTGTGTGTGTGTGTTATAATATTGTAGAATTATTCGCCGCTGCAGTATTTCATAAAGAGTTTAATATTTCCTATTAAAAATTTATGGACACTGTAAATTTTGTAAATTGATAAAAAGTGCAACGATATTCTTCAAAATCACTTCTTGATGTACAAATTCGAAAATATCCTACATGGTTAATTTCTTCTACGACAGGTTATTACCGAGTTAATTACGACAGCCGGAATTGGTTACTGCTTGCGGAGTATTTACAGTCTGCCAACTCTACACCCATAGCTGTCCTCAATCGAGCACAGATTGTCAACGATGCGTTTTACTTTACAACATTTTGGAAAATGGAATCTCAACTCTTCTTCGATGTTATAAAGTTTCTAAATGAGGAGTCTAATTACATAGTATGGCATCCAATGTTTAACATTTTCTCGTATATGTCGGCTTTCTTAAAAACACCAATAGGCGATTCCGCGAAGGTATGGAAATATAAATTTAACGAATACTTTTTATTTACTATTTTATACTCTCAGTTATCGCAAAATGGCGAAAAATCGAACAAGAATATAGGAAATTCACTTGCAAATTCAAACATGGATGTTTTAAGCTTATTTGCTATGATACTTTTCTGTAAATATTTTGGAATAAAAAGTGATAATATCGAGATAAAAGTAAAAAGACTGCCGCTTGAAATTACAAGAGTGAACATTTCACTCAAGGTTAAACAGGATTCTGATTCCTTATCAGCAAATATTTTAATCGACTGGAGTGAAAATGTTCCTCTGACAGTGGAATGCTTTGGTTTCACTCTTCAATTTTGAGTGAAAATATTCACTCAACAACTTAGAATAAAGAATTCACTATATAGGAATAAAAAATAACTCAAATTCGAGTGATTCAGTTATTACTTGGTTTTTGAGCCAAATTTCACTCCTAGATATTAAGAGAGTTCAGTGAGAGTTCAGTGAGTAAAATTCGTGATACGTGACATGTTCCAGGCAAAGTTTCTGAGCATATTGAATAGTCTTCTTCATAGAGTGGGATATGAAGAACGTGAAGCCGATCGAGAAATGACGATGCCGTTAAGATTACTAGCAATAAAGTGGGCTTGCGAATTTGGCCTCGAAGAATGCAGAAATGCCGTTGCCGAAAAAATGATTGCATATATACACAATAGTGAACAGAACATGTAAATATTCTTTAAAATTGCTATTTGTATGTTTTTAATAATATTTAATATGTTATATTTCATATCATGATTGATGAATTGTATGATCAAAGAATAAAATGGAAGGTTGATTTTTTATTACAAATACTTATTTCTTTTGATGTATGTCGTAGAATTGCGCGATGGACAAACTGGATACACTGTATTGGAATGATGAACATAAATACGACTATTTTAGAACTGATTTGGCAATTAAACATTCAAGAGGAAAATATAGAGATTTTAGAATCCTTGTCCTGTATAGAAGATGACATAACCTTATTGCATTTTTTGCAACTGATGACAAATATTACCTATGAGAACAATGCAACAAAATTATCAATGGGAAAAATACATCGTTTTATTATTAAGAGACATATCGAAAAGCAAAAAATTCTCAATTATTTCTTGAACAATTATTTCAAGATAATAGACAGGTATTTTTCTTCTTAAAAAATATAGTTATTATCATTATTAGATACCGTTATGTCTATTTTGATTAAATGTAATATATCATAATTTTATAGATTCCCCAACGATTTTGGTACCCACGATAATCTAACTCTAATAGCTGATATCATTATGAATGCACATAGCCAGATGACACTCAGCAAGGTAAATATGCCTTTGTTATTTATCTCTATTCAACTTATTATATTTATTTATTTATTAACTTATTTATTTAAATATAATACATGTACATTAAGCTGCAATAATTATTAAAGAGTTAGAAATTATGCCGCAAATTATCGTTATTATATTAGGCTTAGTGGCTATTTACCTTAGTACTGATTAATATCCACGTGTGTTTTAGATAAAGATACACATAACCCAGAATTTTGATGATCACAGACTAGGGATCAACAGCAGAAATATGATCGAAATACGACAAGAGCATATATTAAGACAGCGAAGAAAGTTCAAAATATTTGAGAATTGATGTTCTATAGTGATAATAATCCATTTGACCTATAGCTTTACTGCCACTTGTACGAATTATAATCTATATAAGGGCTTACATTATATATTTTACATTACATATATTATATAAAGAATATTTATAGCGTAAAATAATGTGCATTTTCTACTTCCTAAGAAATCTTGCTGAAAAAATATTATCTTTTACAGCGAAAGTATTTTCTAACAATTTTAAGTTATTAGTAATTGACACATACCATATTCACCATGCAAACACGCCGGATAAACTAATGACAAGTTAAAGGATTGCACTCTAGCGATGAAATACAAAAACTAAGCAACCTCCCAGCATAGATTATTTTATCTTTTCCTGTACCACAAGAAAAATAAGACTCAAAAATGCTGTTAAATAATCATTTTTAGCTACTCAAAGCTCAAATATATTATCGTTTGCATAATTGTAGCATTCGGTAACGCTATTTTTCATAACGATTCGTTTTAAATAGAAATTTGACATGTTATACTTTGGTATAGATTATTGGCTTGTAAGTATCGAACGATAGAGAAAAATTTTTACATGTGATATTGGATATGTACACACACACACACACATATATGTACATATATATAACGACATCAACAACTGTTATTGTCATTAGTATGTGGTGATTCATCGTGCGTGCGTGAAAGTAAGACACGACAATTTCAATTAATACTTTCTTTTTTTGGAAATAGAAGCAATCGAACCACAGAAACATATGCTCTTCGGATTTTATTATATAATAGATATTCTGAATAAAATACGCATACGGAACAGACATGAAGATATAGATTCTACAACCAGTATGAATACATATATGCGTGTAATTGTAAATTACACCGCTATGCTCTTTGCACAAGCAATATATATATATATATATATATATATATATATATATATATATATATATATATATATATATATATATTTTTTTTTTTTTTT